GCCTTGCAGCACATATATTGAAAGCACAAGAGCCGGATAGGCAACCACAGGATGAAATAGAAGGAATAGGCAGCTCGGCAAAGGTTATAGTGTGTGTGTGTGTCACACCCTGTTTTTAGGGGTTTCCAATCACTCCCACTTTCCACACAAGCAGGGGGCCACAGCTCCTTTCATCAGTCTGTGGCCAACGAAGCTACTGATGATTGGAAAGGATATGAACCTGGGACGCCTGGTTCACGTACCTGCTTTCCTTTTTCAACTGTTGACAAGCTGTCCACTCTCGCTTTTTTGGTTTCATGGTCCTTCACGATACTTCCCCCAAACCTACTCTTCCCCAGCAGCTGCGCCGCCAGTTTGATTGTCTTGCAGCCGCTTTGAACGTATGAGTGCCTGTGTGAACAATGTTGAACAATATTGTTTCAGCTGACTCTTCCACCTTGCGGTTCTTCGCCTTTCTTCCCATCGGGAAATTGAGTGTAACTGAAAACCAATGTCAGAGTGTGAGCCGCTCAGTCTTCCCACTTGGGTGCTGGATGTGACCCTCCGAAAGGAGGCGCCGAAACCATTCCGGAATTCACTGGTCCTTCACATTTATAACTGTTTCCCCGCTCGTTCATTTCTATAACTGAATTAACGGAACTTTGAGCCGCCGGGCTATAAACGATGGATTCCACTCAACCACAGAATCCAGAGCCGCCGGGCTATAAAAGGGTACTCCACCCGCAATCAGGCAGGTTTCCCAACCCACCCCCCCCAGCCGAGTTCTACTCCCCACCTAATTAGGGCAACATAGGGAAATGGTACTCGACACACTTGTGCGTCGGTACCTTTCCCTGTGTTGTTCCTGTTCTAGTCTTCTCTACCCGGGCGGTTTAAGACTAAAGTCCCGCTCCCTAACTGCTGCATTTAATTCGTTTCCGCTAAGTATTCAGTAATTCTAGAGGGCTAAGTATTCATACACACACACGGACACACACATGGACATACACCCCCCTCCCTGCCCCCCCACTTTCCTTCTTGCGCTTTTCTTCGTTTGTTGGGCTTTCTCTCAGGCTTTTTAGGTCGCTCTTGAGGCTCGTTTCCCTACCCCAGTCAAGGGCTAAGTATTCACTTTTTCTACACCTACCTTTCTTTCTTGCCCTCTTAGCGCTGCTCTTTCTGTCTTTCTTTCCTTTCGTTTCTAAGGCTCTTTAGGTGTCTATTTAGGCCTCCCACACGAGCGCCGCGAAGCGGCACCGTGTGTATGCCAAACCCTGTTTCCAAGGGTCTTAGAAAAAATGTCCGTTTTTCCACTGCTCTGCATCCGCGCCGAGTTCGGCTTGTTGTGTGTGTCACACCCTGTTTCTAGGGGTTTCCAATCACTCCCACTTTCCACACAAGCAGGGGGCCACAGCTCCTTTCATCAGTCTGTGGCCAACGAAGCTACTGATGATTGGAGAGGATATGAACCTGGGACGCCTGGTTCACGTACCTGCTTTCCTTTTTCAACTGTTGACAAGCTGTCCACTCTCGCTTTTTTGGTTTCATGGTCCTTCACGATACTTCCCCCAAACCTACTCTTCCCCAGCAGCTGCGCCGCCAGTTTGATTGTCTTGCAGCCGCTTTGAACGTATGAGCGCCTGTGTGAACAATGTTGAACAATATTGTTTCAGCAAACTCTTCCACCTTGCGGTTCTTCGCCTTTCTTCCCATCGGGAAATTGAGTGTAACTGAAAACCAATGTCAGAATGTCAGAGTGTGTGTTTTTTGACAACAAGTAATGACAAATAGATATATGTATATATATATATATGTGTTTTGTACGCTTTTTAAAATATAGGCAGGGGCCAGGCAGGGCCAAAGAAGCCCAATGCTTGCGTTGACAACTCTTTCTGTGACGGAGGTGTTTGGGAGCGTCAGTATTCTGGAATTCAAGTTTGTAGTGATTGACATATTTCGAGATTTATATTGTGCGGATATCAAATTGAACTTATCCAGTATGTATGTTTCAATTAGGCAGTGTGCTCTCATTTCTTGGGATAAAACCCTTCGGAAGAACCTTAGAAGAGAAGTCTCATTGGTCTCACGGGGTCTGCTGGTTCGGACCTGATAATGTGGCCAAGTAGATTGGTTTTGCGTTCCAACCAGCGTGTTGAGAAGTCCAGCTGCATGAATGAGATCTTCCGCTGCATCATTGGCAGGAGGGATGTGAAGATTTGACTGTAGCCTCGCTTTTGAAAGACAATCAGCTGAGATCCGCTTTGTTAAACTGCATAGTGTCTGTTGCAGTTCACTAAGCAGAATGGCGTTGAAGGCCCGCATTTTTCATTCAATTGTGGTAGTTGCTGTGGACCGAAAGGTCTCAAGCTGCTACAAGTACGTGCGGCATCAGCAATGCGAATTCTTTCTCGTCGCCACCAGTGTGTCTGAGCAGGGTAGTCAGATAGATAGCATTCAGCTTAGCTGGGGGAAAATTAAGCAATCAAGACAATCAAAGACTTATTAGATTTCCTTCAATTCAGTGTGAGTGTGGGGTCTATGCATTTGTCCAGGTTTAGCTCTATGTTGTAGCATTGAGATGTATGCTATTTTTCAGTGAACTAACAATCAATCAACATGTATCCCAGCATTGGGTTACAGTGGGCTTACAAAGTCTCGGTGCACCTTGCGAGTGGTTCTCTATGTTTTGGTGTCAATAAACGACCCTTAGGCCTGTATCATTGAACATATTAGCCATAAGGAACACAAATAGATAAGAGGAGCAGGTGTCTCTTTTCGGCGTCATATACAGTTCTCAGATTGCAAGTTGTCAGTACTAGTAGCTGCTCGAACTTGCGGGTTGATACAAATATGGGTGGTATATGGATGTAAGCATGCGGAAAACGCCGCAAGCGTCCAGGTGGTTTGATCAATTTCATCGAAGGCCATATGGTCCAATCTAGAAGTGTTATTGTTGAATTCTGATGTGGACTGTCTCAAACAAGTTGTGTGCTAGAGCCTCCTCCAAGTGTCTGTACTCAACGCCCTTGTAAGTGCCCTTGTAGCTCCCCAACGGCACCCTAGTGAGGTTCCGCAGTATTTGCGGCAAAAGCTCCTGCACACAACGGCCGCGTGTTCTTGCGTCTTCTATGCGCATGTCTCATTACTTGACACAAGAAATTGCCACAGCTCTGAAGAAACTTGGATAGGGCAGTGACAAGGTAGATTGATGGATAGAAACGCCTGGGCCACGTAGTTCAGTGCGACCTTTGACAGCCACAGTTGTGCTCCCCCGGTGGCTGTTGTGACGAGGCCGTCATGTCTGTCTGCATCGGCAGGAGTGCCTGCGCTGAGCAAGCGGAGTGTGCGCAGCGAGCCTCTCCCACACTCATTTAACAGCAAGGTTTGAGGCTCCGGAGATTATGCTGAAACCGCAATCTTCACCACAGCCATTCAGCTTTGTCAGCGCCAGCGCCTTTCGTCTGAGTCTTTACAGCCTTGGTGCAGGTTATACAATTGCCAATGCAAGTGAATGTTTGAATTACACCAGCATCGACCCCAAACAGCAGCGGCAGTCGGAGTTTTCCTTTTTGGCCGATCCATTCCTGGCGCCAAATCTCCCAAGGCGTCATGCGCTCGCCGGATTGTTGTTCACTACCTTCCGCCCAGCATCCAGACATGGCATGGGAAACAAAGGGAGACAAGGGGAGATAAAGGAAGACAAAGCAAAATCATCTCAGCCCAGCATCCAGACATGCCATGGGAGACAAATGGAGACAAGGGGAGACAAAGAAAGACAAAGGACAGCCCAGCATCCAGACTTCCATGGGAGACAAAGGGAGACAAGGGGAGACAAGGAAAGACAAAGGACAGCCCAGCATCCAGACATGCCACGGGACAAAGGGAGACAAGGGGAGACAAAGCAAAGTCATCTCAGCCAGCATCCAGACACGCCATGGGAGACAAGGGGAGACAAAGGGACACAAAGCCAAATCATCTCAGCCCAGCATCCAGACATGCCATGGGAGACAAGGGGATGGGAGACAAGGGGAAGTGAAGGGATACAAAGCAAAATTTTCTCAGCCCAGCATCCAGACATGCCATGGGAGCCAAGGGGACAAAGGGAAACAGGGCAGGACAAAGCAAAATCATCTCAGCCCAGCATCCAGACACGCCATGGGAGACAAGGGGAGACAAAGGGAGGGAATCATCTTGGCCCAGCATCGTTTCCATGCAAGAATTGAGAACCCCTCACAGCAAAGCTGCTTGGTGAAAAAAGAACGATCTGCCAAACTGTGAAGTGTATAAATTGTCGATTGCACATAGTCGTCTATTTGCATGATGTAGAAGGAGCCAATGAGACTACAACTCTGGATTGAATGAAGTGTAAGGCTTACAGTGTTGTTTGTCCAGGTTCACTATGGTTCACCTGTGTAGGGTGCCCTTTCTGCTCATACCTGTGCTTGAGTTCTAAAGCCAGAACTTCTCTGTTGTCCACCAGCTGAAGAAAGCACAATGTCAGTTTTCGAGCCACGGGGCTCTAGACTGCAGAAAACGTGTGGCTGGCTCGTCAACAGCCGCGCAAAGAATGCAAAGCCATGGCGCGATTAGTAACTTCATAGCACGCGCAGCTTGGCTTCAAGGAGTTGGATGGCTTCAAAGCGTCTCTGAGTTTGCTTCGGCTCTTGCAGATGCGACCATTGATTGTCTGCTACGCTCTTCTACACTGCTACACTGCGTTACTTTGACATGGCAAACTCATTTGTAGGTTCGTGTCCGTGACTTATTGATGCACAGCTGGAAACTTGATTCTACTCTCTGATGCTGTTGCAGTCTGCAGCAAATACGCCACACAATTTGGACACGATGAATCCCAATTGCAATATGCATAGAATACAGTAGATACGATACAACTACTGTAATGAGATTTGATGACAAATGCTATTGAGGCGGTCCATTTCAGCATCCAATCTAACAAGGTAGTAAGAAGCTCATGCCCCACATCCAGTCTAAAGCTGAGCCAGACTGCCGCAGTTTCCAGCCTCAAAATGGGTATGAAATGCTCGCACATCTCCGCCTGGAGAAAGAAAGGCATGTCCAGCGGTGTACAGTGAGTGGTGCCGGGGGCGTGAACTGATCTATGGTCCCAAATGTCCCAAAGCACTTCAAACTTGGAATCAAGTGTGTTCCAGCAGAGTCAGTGACGTCCATCTCAACACTGCCTGATTACATTCATATTCAGTCATGTTTAAGTGTATTTGCAGTATATGATTATACTGCATGATATTGCATATGTAATATGTATGCCTATGTGTGACTCAATCCTCACCTGAATAAAAGAGATTTAGCCTAACGTACACGCTCCGTGTGCCTGCGAGCGAGCTCCATAGGACTTTGAGAGCTGACCTAGACAAGCAATCCACGCAAAGTGACTTGTGACTAGCACCTGCCGGGTACCCCACTTCCCAACCGAACTTTTCATTTTGAGGTGGATAATTTGCAGGCATGTCTTCGACTGGAAATGCTTGTCTTTTTGCAGGCAATGGTTGCTAGACTCACCTCTGACAACAGGAGGTAGGTTGCGAGAAACCTTGACTTGCGTAAGCGCTTCACCACCATCCTCATAGATGACTGAATGTTTGCCTCAGTTGCTCAGTTCGGTGTCGTTGCTTGACTCAGCGATGGCCTCCAACCTTAAGTGTTCCCTAAAAATCTCGGAACCAAATCATTAGGGCGAGCGCTTCTTCGAGGAAGCTACCCCGCCCGCTTTTAGGGCGGCGGGGGGAACTTTCTTGAAGAAGCGCGGGGTACCCTGCGTCCTGTCGGTAGTCGTTTACTTGCAGCTAGTAGCTGCCTATTCTACTAGCTACCTACCTAGCTAGCTACTACCTACCTCTAGCGGCCTACCTCCCTATGACATTTCAACCTGACAAATTTCCTGGCATGTATTGAAACGTTATTTCCTGACATGGTTTTTGCATATCTTCTGACATTCTTCCATCTGACATTCTTTCTGGCATTATTTCCGGCATGTCTTCTGACATGCTCTCTGGCATATCTTTTGACATTCTATCTGGCACATCTTCTGACACTCTTTCTGGCATCTCTTCTGACACTCATTCTGGTATTCTATCTGGCATATCTGCTGACATTCTCTCTGGCATATCTTCTGTCTTCTGACATGCTTTCTGACATTCTTTCTGGCATATCTTCTGACATTTTTTCTGCCACTCTTTCTGGCATATCTTCTGCCTTTCTTCCTGGCGTATCTTCTGACATTCACTCTGGCATATCTTCTGACATTTTCTCTGGCATCTCTTCTGACATTCATTCTGGCATTCTTTCTAGCATCTCTTTTGACATTCTATCTGGCACTTTATCTGGCATCTCTTCTGACATTCTTTCTGGCACTTTTTCTGGCATCTCTTCTGACATTCTTTCTGGCATTCTATCTTCTGGCGTTCTCTCTGGCATATCGTCTGACATTCTCTCTGGCACTCTCTCTGGCATCTCCTTTTTGGCATTCCCTCTGGCACTCTATCTGGCATATCTTCTGGCACTCTCTTGGAATCTCTTGACATTCTGTCTGGTATTCTTGCTCGCACCTCTTTTGACATTCTCTTTGGCGCTCTACCTGGCGTATCTTCTGGCATTCTTTCTGGCATATCTTCTGACATGCTTTCTAGCACTTTGCTTGCATATCTTCTGACATTCTTTCTGACGTTCTATCTGGAATATCTTCTGGCTCCCGGTTGAGGCCCGGCGGGGAACACTGCCAGCCGAAGCTCGTGGTGGAGGTCCGGCGGGGAACACTGCCAGCCGGAGCTCGCGGTTGAGGTCCGGCGGGGAACACTGCCATCCGGAGCTGGCGGTTGAGGGAACACTGCCATCCTGCACTTGCGGTTGAGGTCCGGAGCAGGAGGCGGAGAACAGACCGCCCCAATAGGCGGGCGAGGGGGTATTATCCTTATTCGGGGGGGGGTGTATTATTATTGAAATGATTGCTTTCCGAGCCCCAGGGCCTACCCCCCCCCCGAAGATTAAGAAAGGGGAGAGGGAGGGTTCATTCTTCAATAGTACCCCCCCCATCGAAAGAATAACAACCCCCCCCTATAGTTGTAACAATAGCACCCCCCCAATTATAACGACAAACCGGATCCTTCTTTAAGGCCGTCGTAGCACAGGATCCTTCTTCAAGGCCCTCGTAGCACAGGATCCTTCTTTCAGGCCGTCGTAGCACAGGATCCTGCTTTAAGGCCCTCGTAGCACAGGATCCTTCTTCAAGGCCGTCGTAGCACAGGATCCTTCTTTATGGCCTGTAAGAAGGATTCGACGACAAAACTTAAGGCCCTCGTAGCACAGGATCCTTCTTTAAGGCCGTCGTAGTACAGGATCCTTCTTTAAGGCCCTCGTAGCACAGGATCCTTCTTTAAGGCCCTCGTAGCACAGCATCCTTCTTTAAGGCCTGGTCAAGGAGAACGCCCCCCCCCCGCCATGGAAGGGAACGACGATACCCGCCCCCCATTTCATTCTAACAATTCGCACCCCCCCAATTATAACGACAAACCCCCCAACCCCGCTATCGGGCGGGTATGGCGGAGAAGGAGGACGAGGACGAGGAGGAGGCGGAGGAAAAAGGCAGCTGACATAAAATCTAACAACCCTCACCTGAAAGGTGGAAAAAAAAACAAGCAAAAATGTTAACAATTTACAAATAGAGATATTAAAAACAACTGCTCGCGAACAGACTCTGTGGATCAGTGAAACATGTCGACGATCTGACGGGAGAGAGTTTATCTGACTTCGCACTGGGCAGCTGCAACCGCTGAGGAATATGTGTATATATATATACAGTGCAATATGATTTTTGTTGAACTTGCGGCCAAAAGCACTCACCCAAATCTCATTGAGGTCTGGCAAAGCTGTTACCAAGTAGTCACCTAGAGCCCGCTGCCAAGGAATGCAACTGCCAAACGTTCATGAAGCTGAACGAAATCATCCGGCATCGCTCAGCCACTCGCGGAAAGGTTATCTCACACCAGCTGATTTGCACAGTCTGTTCAATGGATCATGTGATTTTCTCGAAGATGTTTACTGTCTATGTGCTTTAAGGATCTTTAAGGCCTGCTGTTCCAATTCTTTGCATACCGTCCTTTCGCAGTGCAGCAACTGGTGATCCATCTCAGAAGTGGAGCGACGTGCGCATACATCCAGCGGGTTAGTAGTCGATCCATGTTGATTTATCGAGTTGCCCTTTTGTGCTATACATGATTTCATAAGACCTATATACATTACCCTATGTGACAATATATTTCATTTGTCAGTATGTTTGTCGATGATTCAATGCCAAGGCAATCTCCGCATAGTGCCTGCACTCAGAGGGACAGGCGAGGAGCTGAAGGTCACCTTCGGGTGAGGCCAAGGCAAGGCCAAGCTGGCCAATCCGCTTGCAGCTTGATCCGGATTTGTTTGTTTGTGTTCAACAGTATTCGCTAGAACTTGTACACAGTCTTCAAAACATTAAGAAGTGACTACTGTTGCATGCTCGAGAGATGCTATTGATGTCCAAAGAACAGAGCCTTTCAAGTTGTTCTCCTGAAACAGCATTCCAGGCATGTCCAGGCCATTGAAAGACCCAAATGTAAATATACCGGAATGACCTATTAACACTGCCGCAGCGTGGATGACTTGCTGTAATTCACGCAGGCTTCAGCTTGAACCCAAGCGTTCGAGAGTTGCATTCCTTTTCCTCAACCAACCCATTACAAGCCTGGAACTTGCCCGTTGGAACGAAGAGCATGTCTTCCTCCGTCACCTTTGGTTGAATTGAGACTTGACAAAGCCTGGTATACAGAAACTATTTGTCAGTTCACCAAAAGTCATACGTGTGTGTGTGTCCACCCCTGGACAAAGGGTCTTCCACCGCCACTCTTTTCACCGTTTTCCACCACTTTCCACACGCAGGGGGATGGAGAGGACACGTGAGGCTCCATCCAACGAAGCTCCTCACGTGCTCCTAGGATATCATCAGGGACGCTTGATGACGTACCTGCGCCGTGACACTACTCCACTCTTCCTTGCTGTGTTTTGATGCCATGGTTGTTTGATCACGATACTCTCCCCTCAAACAGGTTTCCCACCGCAGTCCTCAGCCACCGGAGAGTTACAGTCAGCCGCTTGTGCCTTGCAGGTAGCCGCGCGAGTGAAACTTTTTTCAACAATTCAAGTCTTTGGACCTTTTCGCCTTGCTGTTCCATCACCTTCCTTCCCAACGTGGTAACTGAGTCACTGAATACAAGTGTCAGAGTGTGTTTCGCTCAGCCGTCCCACTCAGGTGCTGAGTGTGATCCCCGTCACAGGGTCGCTGTTTTTTGCATCGGAAATCAACCACCCCAACGTACCACTTCCACTGGACCTTCACCGGAAGTCACGGCCACCCCCATTGAATCAACTGATGCATTGGCCGCCGGGCCTAAACACGGCAGCTTTCTTTCCCACCAGCTTTCGGATCACTCGTGCATGTTGTTTTCCACATGTTGCATTTTTAGATCGATGCCGTGACCTTTTCATCAGCAGAACTCAAGCTTGTACACTGGAGTTCTCCACTCTAATTCGAGATGCATGACCACACTTGACAACAAGCTTACACTCAGCTCAACCTCACAACACACTCCCCGTCAACACGAGCAATGAGATTTTCAACATCACTATGACAATACAACTTTGCAATTTGCAGCTGCCCCATTGCCGCTGCGCCGCGCCGTGCCATAGCGAAGCCTTTACTACACAGCGCAGTTTTTCACCATCGACAAGTCCGACTACGTCATGCATTTTCCCTGGCCATATGCTCATGTTACACCACCACCATTACCTACTACACAACCTCACCCTACATGGCCGCTGCCACAGCCGCCAACCGCACCCACCTTTCCATCACCACAGCCATCGGCATTTCCTCATCCACAACCACAACCATATCAAGCTCCACCTACTATGCCTATTCCAGCTCCTACTGCACTGTCCTACGGCACTCCCTCACCTTGGACGATTGTGCAACCATCCCAGCCGCCACCGCAGCCCACACACCCAACCCCAGTGTTTCCATCCGCAGCACCTTCCCCTTCTTACATGTTGCCCAACTACATCCCACACCACCTGCAGAACCTACCCCCACCACGCAGATCCACCCACTTCCAGCACCACAACAAGCAACAGTTGCCCATCATCCATCCGCAGACCCACAGTGCACCATGCTCCAGGGGGTTTGGCAACCCTACTCAGCATTTCCCCCAGTCACACAACCTCCACAACAACCTCCACCTCAACCTTTGCCTCCGCCACCGCCTCCACTAGCCATTGGCAATCCACCACCAGCTCAACCCTCCCCCCCACAACCGACACCATCGGACCCCACAGCACCGGTCCAAAACGTCACCACATCAGCCAAGGACCCTACACCACCGGTCCAAAACGTCACCACTTCAGCCACTGGCTCCCAACCATCCAAATCACCATCCATTGCATCAGCCCCGCCAGCCTCTGCACCTTCAATACCCGCAACAGACAAGCCTGACAGCACCGCTTCACCAGCGCCGCCACCACCTTCCCCACATCCACATCACAGCAGTCGCCGCCACCACCACAAGAGCCGACGCAAGTCCGACCACCACCACCGTGGACGCCACCACCACCACCACCGCAGGCATCGACATCACCGCCACTCCAAGCACCACAGCACCACCAGGCGACGCCGTTCGCCCTCAACCTCCACTTATTCTTACAGCCCCACACCCTCCCGCAGCCGCTCCCCACAACCCATCGATTTGCGCCCCAACACCGACAACACCAACACCGACCCCTCTCAATACCCCACCACAGCAGTCCTTCGTCGCCCACTCAACCGCTGGCGACCTCCACCCAACTTTCAAGCTCTTTCACTTTCACCTACAGACCAACTTCTCGAATGGTTCGAATTTCACGCCAACCAACTCGACATCCCCAACCGACCACAGCACCAGTACATTGCCAATCTCCTCACCGACTGCAACATCACCTACAAAGAGATCACCGATTTCCGACAATATACCCACGTCAAGTGGAACGACACCACTCGCCAATACGACCAGTTCCAATACAACGCCATCTCACTTCCCTTCCTCACCACAAAGGCCACCACACCTGAACCACCCGCGGTTTCCCAAGCCACCTCAACCCACCGGGAAGTCGCCCACATCAATGCCGGCCATACAGGCCCGGTCGGCAACATTGCCAACATTCTCCGCCAAGGTCGGTTTCTACCGAGCACACTCCACTTTGCCAACTACCCTGGCTTTTTTGCCCAGGGCGTCCGCATCACCCACACTCAACCCCACGACCAAAGCGAGTTCGCTCGCATCATCCACAACACTTGGCAACTCCACAAGAACTCCCACTCCATCATCATCACACTCCTCGCCTGGGGTGCAGCCACTAAATACACCTCTGGTGGCGAGGAACACGCCATGACCCTCCTCAACGAGCACCACGGCGCCGTTTTCCACCAGAAGGGCCGCTGCTGGGCGATTCACCCGGACCACGCCATAGTCAAAGGACTGGCCTGGTCCACCAACTCCACTCCACCCGACATGTAACACCACATTCCATCACCTCCACACCACTACCACCTCCACCTCCACCTTTTGTCTCACTCCACCACACAAACCTTCGCCTATAGCAGCAAAAAGACTTTTGCAGCGGTCACGCGACCCTTTTGCGCCTTCAACTTTTCAAGCTTTGACGGTTTCATTCTGCAGAATATCATTCCGAACTTTTTACTAGCTTCTCAGACGATGTCTTCTTCATATGTTGGAGTTTTTGCTTTTGATCTCTCAATCGGACTTGCACTTTTTCGAACCATGACCGCGGGAATTTGATGCTCGTTTGATTCATATGCATGGCCCCGTGATGACGTGCTCACGCTGACCAGCTGCCGCCCAGCTGCTTTGCCGCGCTGCCGCAGCAACCTGTGACGACCCTGTGTGACTGTACATCCCTCTCCCCCTACGTCATGAGCAGCACAGTGCCACCTCCACACAATGACACACAAACTCTTTTACATCAGACCACTGTGGCACTTTCGCAGGTCCAAAACCTGCTTAGACAAGCAACGGATATCGTAGCACACCTCCAAACCCACTTTCTCCACCACATACACCAAGCGGATCCCAATTTCCGCCAACATTTTCAGCCACTACCAACTCCACCAACTCACCCTATACGGTTACCGTCCACTACCTCCTCCTGTGACTCAGCACCCTCTCGACCACCCATTCTCTTGCCAGCGCCACCCTCAAAAGACTCCGACGACACACCGTCAACTGCCCCAACCCCACAACCTGCTACAACACGCAAGCGAAAGCAGCCACCACCACCACCACCACCACCGAACCAGCAGGCAGACTGGGACGCATGGGATGGCGACGCTGATTGTCGCCTGGTGGAACTCAAAGGCAACCCTCGACTCCGTCCCAATTGGGTTTTTGTTGCTCGCCGAGTTGGCTTCTCCGTCGAGCAGTGCCGAGCCCGATGGCAAGAACTCAAAGACATGCAACATCTACAGGACCAACAACTTTCCTCCAAACAACCACAAGCAGATCCATCACGACAAGTACCTTCCCCCTCACCAACACCCACCTCACCAGCAGCTTCACCACCACCACCCTCACAACCGGATTTCTCCCCTTCTCCCAAGACAACACCACCGACTTCACCACATCGATCACCTCCAGCTGATGTGCTGCCGCTGCCGGCTGCTGAGCGAGCGCCTAGTGAGAACAGTCATCCCGAGAAATCTCCAAGCACGCCTGTTGGCAGTTATTTCATGTGATTTGTTTCACCCCCGCTTTCTCTCCGGCGTGCCACAGGATAAATCCTTTGACGTGCAGTGACAAGTCGTTTTCACTTTCCTTCTGCATTCGCGATATTTTTGCTGCTTGGAACCTTCAGTCTTTCATGTTTCCCAGGCTCACTCTAGCTCCGCAGCTTTTTGTGCGCCACTTTGAGTACTACTTGCCACAGCGCCCCCCGAGCTGGCTCCAACCCTCTATTTGCACTCAACCAGACTTTCACTCTCTCAACAGCTCACTTGACCTTCTTTTCATGGTCAACCAACACCTTCGCCGCCACCCACTCAACACAGACCCCATGCCCAACCAGACGTATTGTCAGGACCAGAGAGCATACAACCTCCTTTACCGTATGCGCAGATAGCCTTTACCAGGCTCGCCGGCTCCTCCAATTTGTCACCACCGGACCAGGCCTCCCAGGGCAATATCGCATCAATCCCACAGCCCCACTCTCCAGTAGAAACCTGGCCATTCTACACAACATACCGCCAGGCTTCCAACTGCCACCCGAACTTTCCAGCCGTTCACCTGCTCCCGCACCACGTACACCACCGCAAGACGCGGAACGCTTCCACCATTACTGGACAGGTCCTCCACCACAAACTACTCCGGCCCCCAACATCAGCAATGCCACTCGCACCCGAGAGAGTTCTCGATCCCGCGACGCCCGCAGTGGCTAAGTGCAGCATTCAGCACCACAGCAACCTTGCAGCGCGGGACCTGCAGCGGCCGAGATGCTTCTTCCTACACCTGAGACGACTCCTCCGGCCACAGTTGCTGATACATCTATGTTTTTAGGTCTCACCGACATTCCTCGGCGAGCAGAAAAAACCTAGCCAGCTAACCAGTTTTTCCACTTTTCATGTTCTTCATTGAAGACTTCATTACCCAATCGCACGTGACCATGATTCCGCAG